CTGCTGCTGCTGCTGCTGCTGCTGCTGCTGCTGCTATTGCTGCTGCTGCTGCTGCTGCTGCTGCTGTGCTGCTGCTACTGCTGCTGCTGCTGCTGCTGCTGCTGCTGCTGCTGCTGCAGGTATCGACGATGGATCGTCACTTGGTGGAGGACTGCAAGGCCCGCAGCAACTACAGCCGCTGCAGCATTTGTCTCAGAGTCAAAACCCTAAAAGATATTAAAACACACACCAACTGCACCCGTAGGGTTTAGGGTTTAGGGTTTAGGGTTTAGGGTTTACGGGGGAGGGGAGAGGGGAGGGGAGGGGAAAGGGGTGGGGGGCGAGGGTTTAGGGTTTAGGGTTTAGGGTTTTGGTTTGCTGCTGCTGCGTATCCTCCATCGCTCTTACATCCAACTAACCATTGCTGCTGCTGCTGCTTCTGCTGGTTCTGCTGCTGCTGCTGCTGTTGCTGCTGCTGCTGTTGCTGCTGCTGCTGCTGTTGCTGTTGCTGTTGCTGTTGCTGCTGCTGCTGCTGTCGCTGCTGCTGCTGTCGCTACTTTTGTTCTGGTTGCTGTTGTTGCTGTTGTTGCTGTTGCTGCTGCTTCGTGTTTTGCTGCTGCTTCTGCTGCTGCTTCTGCTGCTGCTTCTGCTGCTGCTTCTGCTGCTGCTTCTTCTTCTTCCTCTGCTGCTGCTGCTGCTGCTGCTGCTGCTGCTGCAGCTCCCCCCAGCCCGGAGCACAGCTACTGCATGTACTGCGGCGATTGCCTGGGGCCGCAGCCAGAGGTGTGGCGGCAGCATTTGCTGCAGCAGTGCAGCAGCAACACGAGAAGCAGCAGCAACAAGCAGCAGCAGCAGCAGCAGCAGCAAGGTACAACGCATGCTGCTGCTGTTCCTCCTGCTGCTGCTGCTGCTCCGGAATCCGCAAACGCAGAACTGCAGCAGCAGCAGCAGCAACAGCAGCAGCAGCAGCAGTGAACACAACAGCTGCAACACACACGGAATCTATGAAATAAGAGCAGCAGCAGCAGCAGCAGCAGCAACAACAAGAGAAGAAGCAGCAGCAGCAGCAGCAGGAGCAGCAGCAGCAGCAGTATAAGTAATAACAGCAGCAGCCTTTGCTCTTTGTCCGCTCAAACCCTAAACCCTAAACCCTAAACCCTAACCAGAAGTATGAAACCCTAAACCCTCAACCTCTCCAAACCCCAACCCGTAAACCCTTTTTGGTGGTTTGTCGCTGAGTCGAGGGTTTAGGGTTTAGGGTTTAGCCGAGGGAGACGTGATACTTGGGTTTCGTTTTATTATATAAAACTGAAATTAGGGTTTAGGGTTTAGGGTTTAGGGTTTAGTAAAAGCCAATGCTGTACTGAGCTTTGTCGTTGCTGCTGCTGCAGCAGCAGCAGCAGGCAGGCAGAGCTTCTGCTGCTGCTGCTGCAGCAGCAGCAGCAGAAGCAGCAGTAGAAGCAGCAGCAGCAGCAGCAGCAGCAGCAGCAGCAGCAGCACAAGTAGTAGCTCTGTGTACAGCAGCTGCTGCAGTAACAGCAACAGCAAAAGCAGCAGCAACAGTAGCAGCAGCAGCAGCAGCAGCAGCAGCAGCAGCAGCAGCAACAGCAGCAGCTCTGCGTTTTTTTATATATAAATGATAGATAAGTTGATCTTGTTTTTTTTTACTTTCTC